TCTAATTTATAAATATATAAATAAATACATTCAGGGTCAGTGCACATGTATACAGAAGTATAAATGTTAGTATGGTATATGCAGGGGAAAATTCAAATACTGTAACTCTTTAGAACAACTACCTCACATTCTAACAAAATGAATACCAGGAACCTGGTACATGAAATGAGGGGGGGGGTAAATATGGAAGGAATATGCAAATGAAGAAAGAAAGGGGAGAATATAATCATAATATTCAGTGCATATTCTATGAAACTAGAAAAAATTGAAGGGAGGGGTGGGGCTGGGAGGGATGGGGGAGAATGATGAAATGGGTAATATTGATCAAGATATTGTTGATTTGTTGAATGGGTACTCCTTAACAATAGCAACAGTATAATATAAAAATGATAAAAAATCAACCCTTTAAAACATTGACATATACATAATTGCTTCTTCAGGTAGAACACAGTACACCTATTTTAATACTTTGCTGCACAATTTTACTGAACAATATGATGACTTTACTGATCAAAATGCTCAATTGATTTAGCTTAGTAAAATATTTGGTTTTCTTATGGAATATGTTCTAGAGGAAAGAATTCAGAAACACTTTTTAAAGCAATCATTTCTTCATTAGTGGTTTAACTTGCCATACGTAGCTATTTTTTAAGCATCCAATCAAAATAATAAATTCTATTGAAATTTTCTCCATAACAGTTTGGCAAATCTCCACAGGTAACTTCAGTCATTTTAGAACTTTTGATTAAGTACCCAGCATTCATCTTTCTCCAGCACTCTGCATATAGCAACTACAGATGGCATTTTCCAAAATAATTAGATGCACTCTCATGCCGTGTTTAAAGATGGTCCTTGAACAATTTGACACACCCAATGTGGTATTTAATGTGGCATTCAGGATTTTCTGAAACCTACTTCCAACTTAGTGTTCCCAAGAACCTCACTAGCTGGGCACAAAACATAAAGGTCTGATCATAGGAGCACTGTGGGTGGAGGTCTGATTCAGGATTCATATCTAGTATTTAGAGAGGGGGGAGGTAGACTCTTTATTATGGAATTCAGATAGCCAGGAATCCATAGAAAACTGTGCAGCCACTCAGTCATAATTTTGGTGCCAGCAGGACAAGGTTTGATGGTGTAGGGTTCCTCAGGGAATCAGTCCAATGGTCAACACCCGAGCACTCTGGCATGTTTCTATGCAAAATTGTTTAGCTACTTCCTTGGATTGTTGGGTAAAGTCAAATTCTTCAATGTGCCATTCAGGACGAATGATAGCTGGGTTATCCCAGTAGTTTGAGAAAAACATTGGGGTTGAGTTTGTAGGGAAAATAAATGATTGGAAAAATTAGCAGATTAAACACAATGAAGAAAAGTTGGTCTATCTTCCCATAGAAACTAAAGGGCAGAGAGAGGTGCTTGGTTTTCATATTGGCCTCAGAATCTGATTAGCAAAGAAAAAGAAGCTAGACTTAGGAAGAGTCACTGTGCTGGAGTTTGGTTTTGAGGTCTGGGATAGACTGAACAGTTAGGAAAGACATGTCAGAAAACTTAGGTGTGGGCAGACAGAAACATCAGAGGAGAGAGAAATGAGCCATGCTGACATTTCCAGCTCACCTCTATTCTGCAGAAATGTCAGCTGTCTCCCTCCCTGAGTTAGCATTCACTGCAACATATTCTTCTTTTCCCCCATTCCTCCTGCTAGAGGCATAGAATACTTTACCTAAGTAAAATATTTCCTCCCTATGGCTAATAATGACTTTAGTTTAGAAACATTTATTTTAAAACCACTGCCTTGCACCTTCTGTGTCTTTACCCTGCTGCAGAGATGGAAAGCTTTGAATCTGTTGTCAAGATATTGTTAGAAAGCCACATCTTTCCATTTCCCCCCCACAACTTCAGATTGCATGTTTTTTTATGCTACTCTTTAATGATTATGGTTTGAAGTAGTTTGTGTTTTCAGAGTGTCTTAATAAAACAGAATATGTCTATCTCAACCACCAGTGCTGGAATGCAACTTGCTCCAAGTTTAGACATTGTTCATTAAAACTTCTTTCCTTCCCACTTAACAGTGTAGGCAAAGTCAGACCTTAGCCAGGGCTGGCTGAGTTATTTGCTTATTCAGTCTTAAAGATTGGTAGATAGAAATTTTGCTTGTCAGTAGGGCTTTTGCATTAGTTCTGCAGTTATGCAATTTCATCAGAGGCTTTAAAATCCATTTGTGACTTTTAATTTTTTTTTTAGAGAGAAGGGTTTTCTATAAAATTGATATAGTGTCTGCAATCATGTTATGGCCAAATTGGTACAAGTTTGTTTCCAGGGCTTACCAGTCTGTTTAGAAATGTTGGTCCCACAAAACTGAGGAGAATTATCTAGAATATTTACATGTATAATTAAATAGCTCAATTTTAATCCAACATTACCTTGTTATTGTCTTATGTTATTGCTTATCACATTATTGTCTGTAACCTTGATCTCATTTTATGGCAGACCATAATAAAATTTTAAATAATTATCTTAATTAGATATTAAAGTTGGATTGTGCATTTGCTAATGAATCTGAACAGAGTGTAAGAAAGAAATGGAGACTCAGATAAATGGCTAGGTCAGTTATAGAGAAAATCATAATTGAGGAAATGTAATCCATACAGAAGCCAGTTGTAAGGAATTCAATATATTATGCAAGAAGCAATTATGCTGCTCTTTTGAAAAATTATACAGCTCTATATTTTTCATTCTAACTTAGAATTTTTCCCTTATCATTAATCCACCTGATAGTTGAAGCTAGATTATTTTCTAGTATGATTGAGTTTGTTTGGGTGCTCTTTTCCATACCCAAATGTGACTAGAAGATAATGGTCCCATGGACTTTTATAGAGAGAAAGCAATCTGGAAAACACAGTTTGTCTGGCATAAGTTATTCTTATAACTTGTTATTGATGAGTTACTATTGTCCCTGATAGGAGGCGTTTATTCTTTCAATCCCTTGCACAGTAGCTATGTATATTATACCTCATTATCATTCTTGCAAAACTCCCTAAGGGGTCCGGAAGGTATCCTCTTTGAAGGTAACTCATTATATCTTATTTTGAAGATGTCTTAGGGAGAACCTCCCCTCATTTCTCTGTTCATGGGTATACTTATTTTTTAAAACAGAAACAATTATTTGGACTTCCTTCCAAAACTCACTGCTGAGATTTACCTTATTTCTCGTGCTGATCAAAATAGCTGCACAATCACTATAATTACTTTTCTTTTTGAAATAAAATTGCTGTTCCAGATTCCTCTTTTGTTTCCCTTTCTTTCTTCCTGTTTACCTGGTTGATGAGTGTTTATTTGGCCAATGATGTAGGAAGGGTAGCAGTTAGGAGTGTTATGTATTTACTGAGTAACTACCATATTCTAAATCATGTGGGTCTGTGTGGGTCTGGGAGGAGAGTCCACTCAAACATCTAAGGTACTGGAAGAATTTGGAGGCCTTCAGTGTGTACTGGTGACTGGAAGACTCTGGGGCTTGAACTCAGCCTGGGCACTCTCCCTCAGCTCTTTTGCTCAAGGCTAGCACTCTACCAGTTGAGCCACCGCTCCACTTCTGGTTTTCTAGTGCTTAATTGGAGATAAGTGGCTCATGGACTTTCCTGCCCAGGCTGGCCTTGAACTCTCTAGAAAAGTTAGAGCTGGAGAAACAAAATGTGGACAAAAGCTTCATAACAGAATACCTGAGCTACTTTTTTCTTTTTTCTTTTTTTTTTAGCTATTTCTTATGTGAGGAAAAAAATAACTACTGCCAAGCTTCTGTTGTTATTTTTAGTACTGAAGATGGCTTATTTGATCTTTCTACATATCTTCAATGAAATGACAATAGATCTAGAATTGAATACGTAACTATAAAAGTAGGCACTGTGGTAAATAGTATAAAAATTTCTTGCTGGGTGCAGGTAGGCCATGCCTGTAATTCTAGCTACTCAGGAGGCTGAGATCTGAGGATCATGGTTCAAAGCCAGCCTGGGCAGGAAAGTCTGTGGGACTCTTATCTCCAATTAATGACCAAAACAGGAAGTGGTGCTGTGGCTCAAGTGGTAGAGTGCTCACCTGGAGCTGAAGGGCTCGGGAACAGGGCCCAGGTACAGAGTTCTAGCCCCAGGACTGACAAAAAAAGTTTCTTCTACTGAATTCCTTTGCCAATCCTGAGACAAGCTGTCAATGAGAGGGCTTGGCTCTGGTGCTTCTTCTTCTGCTACATGTATCTTTTCACCTGAGTTCAGATCATGTCCTCAGTTTCTCATTAATTATCACAGAAATTTCCGATGATAATTCCAGATTTCTGCCTCTATTATTCTTCTTGAATTCCATTTTCACAAAACTATGTGCAAGAAATCTTTCTGACATAATGTCGAACTTTACAACTTTGGCGGGGAGGGGAGGGGATGGGGAGGGCGGGGAGATGGGAAGTGATGGTAAAGGGAAACAAAGGAGGAGGCAACAATGCTTGATAAGAAATGTACTCATTATCTTGCTCATGTAATTGTAACCCCTCTGCATGGTATTTTCACAATAAAAAATATAGTTAATGTAAAAAAAATCTTTCTGAAGAACAACTCGCAATGTTGGTCTTTGTAGATTGCTCATACAACACTCCTGAAAATGACATTCAAGGCTCCAATCCTTTAGGCCTGTTCTACCCAGTCTTTCCTTTATTCCATACCCTACCAACCCTGAATATTTGTCATTCCCAATAAAATCTGCCACTTGAAAGAAAGTAAAGACTTTAGGGTCAGACGCATAAGGCTTCTGTTCTGGCTCCACTTACTGTCAGCTGTGTGACTCTAGTCAAGTTACTTAATCTTTATGTAACTCAATATCTTTTTATTTTTAAGTAGGTTCTTCATGCTTTAATTTCTCCAGTGATGTATTTATACTTGAATGTAAATTACAGGCTTACTTGCACACCAAATCTAGGACCTTTAGGTGATGCAGTCAAGAAGGCGAGACCTCCAGCTGAATCAAATGGAAGTAAGACCTCCAGCTGGCTCACAAAGCAAGTGTCCATTCCTTGGCCCAGGGTTTGGAACTTTGCCAGCTTTGAGGTCATCAATAATGTCTTTACCACCTTTAGGTATCAGAACTTCATAATAGGTGTCATTTGTTTGAACCATTGGTGTATTTACACAAGCCCCGAAACCTCCCACCTTTGTAACAGTGCAAAGAAGCTGGAGTGTTGTTTCCCCAGCCTTTAGTCCAGGCATTTTCTGGAAGGCATCCCATATGCAGTTAGAGTTATGAAGCATGCAGTGTGTGGAGGTGTGGACCTGAATGTGGCATTTTCCGATTGGCTTTTGATTACACATCATATAAAAAGTTACAACTTAATATACTCCCATTGGAGGTACTTGTATACTGTGTGCAGCCTTGTTCACAGCAGAGATGGGCAGCCACCCATTTGACCTTTGGGCTAAATCCAGGACTATCGGATGCACAGCTGCAGCCTTGCGTCCTTCTGGATCATTCTTTCCAATTGCTTCTATTCTCTTATAGCTTTCTGGTGTGATATCAAATGGGTGATCTGGGTTATTTTCAGGAGGATCTCTGTGCACCCATAAGGTTTCCCCAACACTATTTTGCACGGATGACTTATGAAAATTCCTCTCTTTTCTTCCCCACTGGCTGCTCTGACCCCAAAAGCTGAGGAGAAGAACATGGCTGTTCTGTGGTGAAGGCTGTGCTAGAAGAGCCAAAGTCTTCTTTATAATGATCATAATTATAGTGCCTTTCTCACAAGATTATAGGGAGAACTAACAGAAACCGTCACTACATGTGAGGTACTTTGTACAGTGAACAGCTTGAGGTGACCGTTTAGTAACTCTATTCACCCATCCTGTCACACTGATTTAGCTTGCCTTCATTCCTACCTCACCTCAATTGTCCTTCAAGATTCTACATGGATCCTGTCTCCTTCGCTGCTGTTCTAAACTCACCCTTTCCACTTCTGTATTCCAGCAAGAGAGGAATAGAATAACAAAAGATGCTTGCATCTGATTAGATCTGTACTTTGATTATGCTGATTATCACATCACATTTATTTCTTGTTTTGTTCCTTGAAGTCAAAGCTCATGTATTCTCTGTGTAGTATAATAATGCAAAGGACAATGTCAGGATAACTGTAATCCTCAGGTGGCTGAGATCTGAGGATCAAGGTTCAAAGACAGCCCAAGAAAGAAAGCCCATGAGACTCTTATCTCCAGTGAAGCAGCAAAAAGCCAGAAGTGCAGGTACGGCTCAAGTGGTAGAGCACCACCTTGAGTGGAAAAGCTAAAGGACAGCCCCCAGGCTCTGAGTTCAAGGCCCAGCACATAACAAAATGTAACTTATTTATGACCAAGAAAGAGCCGATTATCTAGCGCTTAAAGATGTACTCATTTTTAAAGAAGATAAATCAGTGGCTTCATAAAGCTGGCCCATCATTTTTCATCATTGTTATAGCAGCTCCAGCCTAATAAACTTCAGACAAGTTTTATAGCCATTTCCCATAAATTACTTCCCTTTGCTGCCCAAACTTTAAACTACATAGTTTCTCTGAGAATATGTAATGCTTTTCTTTCCCCACATGACATGACCTTGTTCTTTGCTGAGTAATACCCCACCAGCTTTAATCTGTGTACCTTTCTTCTTCCTTCAAAGCAAGCCCTCCTTGCCTCTGTGTCTCACGTGCACCATTGTAGGTTACTCTCAATGCAGGAGGACTTGACATTTCATGACTTAATAAATGTGGAGGCCTTCCTCTTGGAGTTACTTACTTAAAGCCTATTCAATAAAGTGGTTCTCTTTAAGTCAATTCTGATAAGAATCAGTGGAAATTTCAGCTCAGGGAAAACATCTGCAAACAGAATTTAGACATTGTCTATGCACATCTGCAAACAGAATTTAGACATTGTCTATGCACATACTTTTTGCCATCCTTTAGGGCAAGAGAGACTTTGCAGGTTTTATATATAGCTCTGCTTTCTGATAGAGAAATCAGAGGATTGAGAAGTTTTAGATAGAAGAAAGTACTGTCCAGCAGTCTCACGCCTGTATGTGTGTTAACAGCCATTCATTAGGTAGACGTTTTTCTCTGTGTTAGATTATTGTTTTTCACTCAAATATTCTTCCCCACCGTTATAACTTATTGGGAAAATATTGTCAGTGATGAGATATTTGGGTACACTCTTCTATTTTAATCATGGTTCTCTCACCGTTAAAACCTTGAGAGCTTTGGTAAACTAGCATTTAGAAATAAAGTAGAAAAGCAACATATACAAACATGCTTTCTTCTGTAACCTAGAATAAAATTGGCTCACAAAATTGAAAACCAGGCCAGGTTTGATGGTTCACACTTGTGATCCTTAACTTCAGGAGCCGGAGATTGGAAATGTTAACCTCTGAGGCAGGCCCTGTGCAAAACATTGGTAAGACACCCATCTCAGTGGAAGAAGGTGGGCATAGAGTGCAAGGCTGTCATCTTGGCTATGGTAGGAAATAGAACATAGGAGAATCGCAGTCCAGTCTCTTTCAAAAGAACCAGAGAACGAATGACTAGAGATTGATCCTCAAGTTGTAGAGTGCCTGCCTAGCAAGCACAAAGCCCATAGTTCAAATCTGGCTACTGGCAAAGCCAAAACCAAACCCAAACAAAAAGTACATGGCTATTAAATTGTGGAGGAAATGTCTCATAAAATGATTTACTTGTAAACTTGTTTAATTGCTCAAACTGGCCTGGAATTTGCTATAGCTGGCTTCAACTAGCCAGCTTGAACAGCTTGAACAGCTCAGGCTGGACTATCCTTTCTCAGCCTCTGGAGTGGTGGGTTACAGGCATGAACCACCACACTAGGCTAATGCAATTGTTTTAGTTTGCTTTTATGCCTATTTTATAATTTTGTGATTAAAAAATTATTTTATTGTAAAGATGCCATACAGAGGGGTTATACTGACATGAGTAAGGTACATTTCTCATTGAACATTGTTACCCACTCCATTGTTGTTCTCCCACTATTCCTTCCCTTCCCCCACTCCTCCCCTTCCCCTCCCCTCCCACGAAGTTGTAAAGTTCATTTCTGACATACTGTCCCGTGAGTATCATTGTGGCAATGAGTCATCTTTTGTACTTCTTTCAGCATTCTGTTAATCAAAAGGGATTTATGGTTAGTGTAGACAACTATAAATTCAGACATTCCCCTCAGTAGTACTTAGTTATTTACACAATACAAGACAAGAAAATCCATAGTGAAGTAATATTTTCAGAGTGGAGTCTAGCTCTTGTTTCTCACTAAGCATTGCTGCAAGGTTAACATGAAAACACCTCATCTACTCATGCCCTCTCAAATGGTGAAAGTGTAGAGATCTTAAAATTTGAAAGTTCAGCTGGGGGCTGGTGACTCATGTTCTAATCCTAGCTACTCAGGAGGCTGAGATCTGAGGATCTTGGTTCAAACCAGCCTGGGCAGGAAAGTCCTTGAGACTCTTACCTCCAATGAGCCACCAGAAAACCAGAAGGGGTGCTGTGGCTCAAGTGGTAGAGCACTAACCTTAAGCTGAAGAGCTGAGTGACAGTGCCCAGGTCCAGAGTACAAGCTCCATAACCAAAAGAAAAGAAAAGAGGAAGTTCCTGTTCAATGTAGGAAGACAAGCCACAGAAGACTAGCACCCCCTTCCCCACCCTAGCAAATGCTGCCATAAATAACTCAAGCCTGGTACCCAGAATTAACAACCTATTTTATTTGTTTTAACTCTTACTTTAAACATTACTGAAAAATTTGTCTACATTAGGACCACTTGTGGAGACAAACATATTTTTTTTTAAATGTAGAGGAACTGAACATTGCAGCAGGGTTGGCAAATATATGTAATCTATGGTAATAGAAAGCCTAATTCTATATGATTTGCTCTAAAGTGTCACAAAGTAGGGGAGCTAGTTACAAAGTCCTGGTGCATCTTGAACTGAAATCCGTTAGTCGAATGTTGTTAGGAAACTATTTTCTAAAAGCAATTTCCCCAGCCCAAGCAGAAAAGTCTGTGAGAGTCTTATCCCCAATAAACCATTCAGAAAAAGCCAGAAGAGGTACAGTGGCTCAAGTGGTAGAGCACTAGCCTTGTACAAGTAGGTTTAGGACAGTGCCCACAGTTCATGCCCCAGGACTGGCAAAAACAAAACAAAACTACAACAATAACAAACAACACAATTTCCCAGGTTTCATTCCTTTTTGATTTAGAATGTACAGAATCTTTCCCTGATCCTTCCCTTTTCTTTTCAAATCACAAGATTTTACTTTCATGCTTCTTATTTTGAAGTTAAACCTTAAATATTTACTTGTCCTAAGTTACAGCTGGTATCATTGAGGATTAAGTAGGCTCCCCTTCCATGTCTAAGGGAATGCTTCCAAATAGCAGTGGCTTATAGAAGATAAACATTGCTTTGTTTGTCATGTGAAAATAATACGGAAAAGGACGATTGAGCCCTATCTAAGGTCTCCTCCTGTTTTTGGTCAGAAACAAGCTCCCCTGTTATGCTTACGGGTCAGCCTCTGCTTCTTGATTCTTGTGGTCTGACACAGTTTTGGGGACCCAGCTCACACATTCACATCCCTGAACAGCAGGAAATTAAGAAAAGAGAACATGGTCAGGGTTTAATAATTAAGGAGTTAGCCCAGGCTTTTGTAATTAAAAAAGACTAGAATATTGGGCAGGAAGCAGGAAGCTTTATATCCTTCCACATAATCTGCAAGAGGCAGGCTGGTAATCAATTATTCTAAAGGAAAGCTCATTTCTTTATTTCTGTCATGCTGTGGTTTTGTGTATAGGTCTGCGTGTTTTCTCTCAGATGGCTTTGTGTTTTGCCTCTGAAATGAGGGGATTTTTTTTAAAAAACACATTTGGTGTTTTTTTGATGAAAAAAGTCACAACCCTTTTGGTGTTGGAAAAAGTTTTCAGTAAGCAGTAATGTGGATGCTATAATCTTTCCTTCTAGAACAGCTAAATATCCTCTTTGGAAGACACTGTTTGGTAAATAATCTCAGGCTGGATAGTTCAAAAACCAAACAGAGAGCTGGGCACCAGTGGCTTACGCCTGTAATCCTGGCTACTCAGGAGGCTGAGATCTGAGGATCTCAGTTCAAAGCCCAGCCCAAGCAGCAAACTCTGTGAGACTCTTATCTCCAATAAACCACCAGAAAACCGGAAGTGGCACTGTGGCTCAAGTGGTAGAGCACTCGCCTTGATCTGAAGAGCTGAGGGACAGTGCACAGGCCCAGAGTTCAAGACCCATAACCAACAAAGAAACAAAAACAAAAACAAAGAACCTCAACAGAAGATAAACAGGATAGCTATGTCATCATTTTTTATTTGGTATTCATATATTATTATTTGCCCCAGTACTGTTTCTAAGTCTTCCATAAAGGGTAACTCCATTGCGTTTTCCTCTCATACCCACTCACAAGTATGCAGTGACCTTGTCTAATTCATGGTTTATGATGACATCACTACTCCAGTCTAATGACTGTCATTCTTGTCCTCATACTTTACATTTTCCTCAGTTTTGATTTCTTGCATAGTACATGTCAATAGAAACAATTGACACAAACAACAGCTTTTGATGGTTATATTTTTTCCCTGTCTTTCTTTTTTGGTCAGGGTATTAAGACTTAAACTCAGGAGCCTTATGTTCTCTGGGCTTGGTTGGCTGGCATTCTACCACTTGGACCATGCCTTCATTCCAGCATTT